GAACTGGGGCACCGTCTGCGACGACGACTGGGGCCTGAGCGACGCCAGTGTGGTCTGCAAGCAGGCGGGCTGCGGCCCGGCCCTGGATTACAAGAGCAACGCCTACTTCGGCTACGGCACAGGGCACATCCTCCTGGACAACGTCAACTGCGACGGCAGCGAGCCCTTCCTCTCCGCCTGCTACAGCCTGGGCTGGGGCATCCATAACTGCGGCCACCACGAGGATGCTGGGGTCGTCTGCACAGGTAGAGTATAGAATCATAGAATCATATAGAATCGTAGAATCATAAAATAATAGAATCATAGAATAACAGAATCATAGAATCATAGAACCATAGAATTGTAGAATCATAGAACTGTAGAATCCTAGAATCCTAAAATCATAGAATCCTACAATCACACAATCACAGAATTGTAGAATCATCGAATCATTGAATCACAGAATCCAAGAATCACAGAATTGTAGAATCATAGAATCATAGAATCGTACATCTCATACACACATGCCCTAACCCTAACCCTAACCCTAGAATCATAGAATCATAGAACCATTAAGGTTGGAAAAGGCCTCTAAGATCATCAAGTCCAACCATCTACCCAACACTACCATGACCACTAAACTATGTCTCAAAGTGCTGCACCTACACATTTTTTAACACCTCCAGGGACGGTGACTCCGCCACTGCCCTGGACAGCCCGTTCCAGTGCCTCACCACTCTTTCAGTAAAGAAATTTTTTCCTAATGTCCAATCTAAACCTCCTCTGGTGCAACGTGAGGCCATTTCCTCTTGTCTTATCATTAGTAACCTGGAAGAAGAGACCAACACCCACCTCACTACAACCTCCCGCCAAGGAGTTGTACGGAGTACTGAGGTCTCCCCTCAGCCTCGTCTTCTCCAAGCTGAGCAATCCCAGCTCCCTCAACTGCTCTTCATAAGACATCGCCTGTGGAGTTTGTCCCCTGAGGTGGGGGACAGATCCAAGGGGAAACGGCCTCAGAGAGATGCTGACGTGCCCAAGGCTGGGCCAGGGTCCTGGGCTCTGTGCTGCACGATCGTCCCTTCTCCTCACCCGGTGTCCTGGTCTCCGGAGCAGGCTGGCTCCGGTAGAGGTCCCCGACATTTCCGCGCCCCGCACAACCGGGAGGAGCTGGGCGCTGGTGGGACGCCGTTTTTTATGCCATTCACTGCTGATTACCCTTTCTAATGTTAATAATCCCCCTGAACCCCCTAATTACGGTGGCTAATGGCGCAGCAGTAAGTGCCAGCGCTTCCTCTTTCTTGCTGTTAACGAACAAAGGGGCTGATGGGAGAGAAAAAGGCTCTCAGGCTGGTCCTTTCATGGAGTCACAGAATCCTTTTGGTTGGAAAAGACCATCGAGTCCAACTGATAACCCGGCACTGCCAGGCCCAGCACTAACCCGTGGCCCTGAGCACCTCATCTCCACGGCTTGTAAATCCCTCCACCTCTGCCCTTGGGCAGCCTGTGCCAGGGCTTGACAGCCCTTTGGGTGAAGAAATTCTTCCTAATGTCCAACCTAAACCTCCCCTGGTGCAACCTGAGGCCGTTTCCTCTTGTTACATGGGAGAAGAGACCAACCTCTCCTCGCTCCCCCCTCCTGTTGGGGAGCTGGAGAGAGCGAGAAGGTCTCCCCTCAGCCTCCTCTGCTCCAGGTTAAACGAGCCCAGTCACCAAGTTCATGGCTTTGCAGCTTCCCCCTACATGTCACCTCTGTCCCTTTGTGTCCCTACAGGGCTGGACACATCCACCATCACGTCCTTCACCACCTCAGTGGCCCTGGACTCTGAA